TTGACCTTTCAGACACATTTACTCTTTTTACATTTAGTCAAATACACTGGGAGGGGTTGGGTGTGCTAAGTGGACTATGCTGCTCAGATTCTTAGTTTAACAATGTTGATAGGTGCAGTAGAAGGCGTCATCATGAATGCGACTCATCCAATGACTTAGGAAAATTGCAATTATTTAGGCATGAATACTTCACCCTATAGACACGAGTTGTTCTTTTTGTGGTGCCCCTAATGAAACTTTTTATGAAATTTTATTAACTGCAATGTGCTTCTGGGTTTCTCTTTGTTGTTTAAGGATGTAATGTTTGGCTTTTTTTATAAACAGAAAGCTAAATTTAATGAATACTTTATTATTAATCTATTATTGCTCCTAATAAGTAAATGAGTAAATTCACTCATCAAAATCCCTTATTCATTGTTTTTTAGAAGAGAGGTCCAACAGTCCATTCAAACTATTTCATCATCTAAGAATCTTAAAGCTCTTAAGCTCTTAAGACAATAAACTTGTTTCAACTTATTCATTTATTTCATTAAAGTTTTTTGTTGTTTTTCTTTTTTTACATAGCCTACATAGGCTATATGTAACCTATGTACGGTATATGTATAAATTATGCTTTGCTTTCATTGTTATTTCATGTTTACATGTTTGCTATGAACTTATATCTTTGATACCTTGGCATTAATAATAAATAAAATAAAAAATCACCCTCTGTCCAGTTCTAGGTTATCACATGAGCGCCCTCTACTGCTCAACTGGCTGCTTCACTGAAACTGAAAAACTCCCCTGACTAGTAGTAGGGAGGTTAAGCCCAAAAAATAGGCCTTTGACTTCAAGTCATGATGCAAAGGTCTCCTTTGGTATGGAAGTACCTTAGGGTCATACAAATAAATTTATCCTAAGACACAAGTGAGATCACACTTTGTATCAGAAATAAACATGTTTTTTCAAAAATGGCCGCCAATGCGCCGAAAATACTCTAGAGCCCATATCTTTGCTTCTGTTATCGCTATAATGACAAATTTGGTGTCAAAGTGTACATTTTTGGGGTTAAGGAATCCAATAAAATTGGTTTCAAGTTTAAAAAAATAATAATTTTCCCCATACCATGACAATTGGGGGTAAATATCCACATTTCACACTTTACTTATCTTTTCGTTCAAAGACTTTAATTTTGTATTTAAGCAGTGCAGCTACTTCTGTACATTACATTTGTCCTAAGTAGCATGAGATTTCGACCAGTCAGGAGTAGCCTATAGCATATCAGTTCTTGCAACAACACATCCCATCTGCACCAGGAGCTGTGACAGCTGTTGAAGGTCAGAGGTGACAGGTTAACACGTTGAGGTTCGTATGACTTTCTCATTAAATAGAAAAATGTTTTTAATGTTAGATAACTAATAAATAGCTAGCTAGTTGACTATGGAAAAAAAACCTTAGATTGAAAACCTCTTTTCTCGAGAATACTGAAGCCAAAAATTATCCTTATAATTTGTATTAATTTAAAACACACTTGCTGCAGCTAGCAGACCTAGGCGAGGCAGCTCGCGCGCGTATTGGATGCTATGCGGCAACTGCTGCAACCTATCGAGGCACTGCTCGTGACGTAAGCACCAATGAGTGGGCGTGTGGGTGAATGGGCGTGGCTTATGCCTATATAAGCCAGAGCTCGACAAGATGCTCCTTGGTTTTCATCGACTGACATCGTAGAATCCTATTAAAACAGTAAATACAAACAAATGTAATTAGTAACCACCATGAACTTTGTGTATTGTACATAACAATATATACAATTAGCAGAACTTACATTTATTTAAGAAGTTTCACTTGGTTCTGTTAATAAAATTGAAATTGCCACAGAGTGTATAATTTGAGATGTAGTTTCATGAGAAAAGAAATGACATGCTTGAAGATTGTTGGTGATGGTTTGAGAAAATGGTTGGGTATAAGAGATATAAAAAAAGAGAGAGAGCGGCGTCAAAAGAATGAACAAATGTACATATAAATTTGCATAACTTTGAACATTTATTACCAGTGGTTTACCACTGGATTTTAAGAATGCTACACTGTCAATACCTGTCAAAAGTTTCCAAACATTACTATTTTTATTGTTTTTGAAAGAAGTCTTTTATGCTCATCAAACCTGTTTTTTTTTTATCAAAAATACAGAAAAAAAGAGTAATATTGTGAAATATTACAATTTAAAATAATGTCTTTCTATTTTAATATGCTTTAAAATATAATTTATTTCTGTGATGCAAAGCTGAATTTTCATCATCCATTACTCCAGTCTTCAGTGTCACATGATCCTTCAGAAATCATTCTAATCTGCTGATTTGATGTTCAGTTATTATCAATGTTGGAAACACTTGTGCTCATATGCTGCTTAATATCTTTTGGAACCTGTGATACTTTTTTTCAGGATTCATTGATGAATAAAAAGTTAAAAAGAACTGCATTTATTCAAAATAGAAATCTTTTATAACAATATAAATCTTTACTATCACTTTTTTATCAATTTAACATCCTTGCTGAATAAAAATATTAATTTATTTTCTTTCTTTTTTTAAAAAAAAAAAAAAACAGAAAAAATTACTAACCCTAACATTTTTATTTTAAATAAATTCTGTTCATTTTTTTTTTTTTTTTTTTTTTATTCATCAAAGAATCCTTAAAAAAGTATCACAGGTTATAAAAAAAATATTAAGCAACACAACGGTTTCCAAAAATGATAATAAATCAGCATATTACAACCCCATTTCCAGAATACCGGTAGTTGGGACATTTTGTAAAAGGCAATAAAATCATGAATCTGTGATTTGTTAATTCTCTTTAACTGACAAATGTAGAAAGAAAATATTCCCAATGTTTTCACTGAACAACTTAGTTTTATTTTGTAAATATAAACAAATTTTGATTTTGATGGCTGCAACAAACTCCAAAAGTTGGGACAGAGGCATGTTTACCACTGTGTCACTTCACCTTTCCTTTTAATTACACTTTTTAATAATTTGGGAATTGAGGATACTAATTGTTTCTGTTTTGCAAGTGGAATATTTGCCCAATCTTGTCTGATACAAGACAGTCTGTGGTCATCATTGTCTGATTCTCCTTTTCATGATGGGTGATCATATATTTTCAATAAGAGACAGATCTGGACTGCAGGCAGGCACATCTCTTCTGCAGAGTGTCTAGAAACCACTCAGTTTTAGCATGTGCAGAATGAGGCCTGGCATTGTCTTGCTTCCCAGGAAAGATGTCATCCTGATGGCAGTTTATGTCTCTGTACAATCCAAATATACACCTCCCTCCACCATACCTTCAGACAATGCAAGTCACCCATGGCGTTACCACTGATGCACCCCAATACCAGGACAGATGTTTGCTTTTGCACCTGTCGCTGAAGAAAATCTGGATGGTCCCTTTCGTCTTTAAGACTGAGAACTCAATGTCCATGTTTTCCAAAAACAAGCTCATCTGACCACAGCACACATTTCCACTGTCTTTACGACCATCTGAGAAGAGTTCAGGCCCAGAGAACTCGCCGGCATCTCTGCTTTGAAAAGATGAATAGCTTTCTCTTTGCGGAACAGAAATTCAAGTGGCATTTCTTGATGCAGCGTCAGACTGTTAAGTGTAAATGATTTTCCAAAGTACTCTTGAGCACATGTGGCTGTATTTAAAAGAGTAGCATGACTGTTTCTCATGCAGTGCTGCGTGAGAGCTCAAAGGTCACGCACATTCAACATAGGTCTCCTGCCTGGCCCTACACAGACTGAGATTTCTCTGGATTCCCCTGAATCTTTTCACAATATTGTGTGGTAGATGGTGAAAGACATCAATTCTTTGCCATCTTGCGTTGAGAAATGTGATTTTTTAATTGTTTGACAATTCTCTCATGATATTTGGCACAAAGTGATGAGCCATGACCCATCTTTGCATGCAAGCTCTTTTACAAAAGAGTTGGATTATCTAACTTGGATAATCTTTGCACTTTTATTTTGCCTCCGTCCCACCTTTTTTGTAGTGTGTTGCAGCCATCAATATCAAAATGTGTTAATATTTACAAAATACAATTATGTTGGTCAGTGAAAACATTGGAAGGTTCAAGAGAATTAACAAATCACAGAAGTGAATTTTATTGCATTTTACAAAACGTCCCAACTTTCTGGAAATGGGGTTGTAGAATGATTTCTGAAGGACACTGAAGACTAGAGTAATGATGCTGAAAATATTTCGTATTTTAAATTGTATTAGTATATCACAGTATTTTTTTTCTGTATTTTTAATCAAATAAATACAGGTTTGATGAGCACAAGAGACTTCTTTCAAAATGATTAAAAATAGTACTGTTTTCCATCTTTTGACCGGTACTGGTTTTAAAGTGTTCATGTCCTTTTCAATGTCTTCTCTCTGAAAAAAGATTCTCTCAGCCATCTGAGAAACCGCAAACGTTGCTTTTTACCCAGTTTTAATACACTATATGGCAAGTATGTGGACAGTGACACCCCTTTGTACTAACAGGGTGGGTATTACAGTAATTCCACTGAAAATAAATCTTAATAATAGGCCTATGCATAAAAAGATGCTATGGAAGAACTTGACTAGCCTGTGCAAGTCCACAGTTAATTTCTATAAGTACATGCTTTGCTTAAGGATTTTCACTTGTGCTCAGGGACATTGTCATGCTGGAACAGAACATTTGAAATAGAAAATCCTCTTTAAAATGTTGCAACAAAGTTAAAAAACTTACATTCTCAAGAATAGTGATATATTCTAATAGATTCAATTGTTGGTGAATTAAATTGCACGCTCTTTTTTGAACTGTGTGTATGGGATGAACAGTGCACTGAAAAAATATATATAGCAAGAATTGTGAAACAAAGAAAAGCACTGGATTCTGTACGCTTCGCTCCATTAGAGCAGCTAGATGTCGCTGCGCTATCATTGGATGTGGTCCGGCTTTGTCGCGCAGTCTGTTGCAAACGCTCCTGTTTCAGGTGATTCTGTTTGATCCCTTCCGGTCTCCGTACATTTCTATGTTATGACGTCATCTGTTCGGACGAGCGAGAGAAAGAGAGAGAAGCGTTGAACTTGCTAGGAAACTTGATGAAACATTGTTTCTCCCTCAACTTTCAGCTGGATTTTCCTCTGTGGGTCTTACACATGGATCAGAAAAGGAGCATCACTGGTATGCGGCGTGTAAACTTCAGACTTTTCTGTACCAGCATGTGAGCTTGAACAAATATCATTAAATCAGAACAGGGAGGTCATGGACGAACGAGAAGGTAAGGATTACGCGAACGATATTTACTTTTGTGCCCGAAAATGTTTGCTTGAGCTCCATTAATACTTAGTCTGAACTACTACTAATTAATTATTTGTGTTGACTTTGTCGCAGGTCATAGACACTAGTTAGTTACCGAAAATAACATGTAGGAATTTGCTCGTTCGATCGCTTTTTTTGTAGCTTAGTTGACGTTTGCCGAGAAACAACACTCTGTTATATCATGTCAGAAAGAATTAAATATGTATTGCATCATTTCTAAATATTCAAATGTTTTCTCATAATAAAAGTTCAGAACTGCTTTGTGTAAGGTTTTTAATCACACAAGTAAATAATAAACAGCTCAAATGGCCCCCTCTGTAACCTGCTGTCCATTTAAAAAGAATTGGAGACAGATTTTAAAGCAGTGTTGGTTAGAGAAGATCCATTACATTTAGAAGTTTTAATGGTAAAATGATAATAAATGGTCTAAAATGTAATAAATCAGTCGCTAAAATAGATTTGCAGCGCGAGACTACATAATGTAGAACTTCAGCTCGTGCTCACAAGTTTTAAAACACAAAATGTCCCACATCGAGTTGAAAGTTAAATGCGTGGGCTTTCCCATGAAAACAAACAAGGTCTGTGTATAAGGTGCTAGTTCTGAAAGTTCCTCTGATGTTTGATTGACAGATGTGACGGAGTGCGCGTGCACGGGCTGTGGCGGGAGGATTCAGGACGCGTTTCATGTGAAGGTTCTTCAAGATGCCTGGCACAACTCATGCTTTCAGTGGGTCTTTACTTGATTTCTCTTTTAAACTGAACCAGACTGGCTAGGGATGGAGCGAAATAAACAAAATGTGTTTGATTGCTTTCCTTGGATTTTCCGACTACTTTTTAAATTCTTACTCTTCTAAAAAAAAAAGCATTGAAAACCAGCCTAACATGGTTTTTATAGTTTTAAATGTTTTCCCAGCCTTATCTGTTGGCTGGTTTTAGAGGGATGTCCAGCTGAGCACAAGCCTAAGTTGTCAGCCTGTAGTAGACCAAGCTTAAACCAGAGAAAAATATCCAGACTATTGCATTCAAATGAAAGCATTCTGCATTGTTTTCTTTCCCACTTACACACATGTATTATGGGCTGCTTAGTTCAATGTATCTTGGCAGCGACTACTGGGAACGCTTAACCAGGCCAGCTGACAGTCTTGCCTGGGCCCGGGACAAGATAATCTTAGATGGGCCCCCCCCCCCCCCCACCACGATTTTTTTTATTTTTATAAAACACCATATACTTTTACCCAAAATGAATAATAAAAACACGTTTAAATGGGTACATTTTCTATAAATGTCTTCATTTTCTTTTCTGACATAGCCTACTGCAGTTCTTGTTAAAACACACTAGACATGCATATTCTGTGCATTTTGGGCACTTTTTGTGTGAAATCATATTTATTTTTTGTCCATCAAAAGTGTGCTTTCACTTTTAAGCATGAGCAGCGCAGCAAAAATAGACTCGGATCTGACCCATTATCTGTTCACCGATGATGACAGTGATGCATTTCAGCCGGCTTTTTATTTCTCATCTCCATAAATAGTAGTAAAGCTAATCCAAGGGCTAGAAATCAATGAATTCTTTGCTAATACTTCCTCGTCATCATGGAGAGCGCAGTTCGCACCGCTTTCTCCTTTCCACAAGCGCGTGCTCTCCCGTGGCGTCTGTCGTTGCTATGCAACAATGAACTTAGGCGCGCCTGTAAAAACGAGCGCGCCGCGTCGCTATTATGAGCTAATATCCAAAATATTTCCATATGTGGCTCTTTCCTCCTTTCTTATCAACAAGTGGTTTTACAGCATACAGCCACCACAGCAGCAGCACCGCCGGTCGCCATGTCTCAGCGCTTTTATGAAGAGGACGCAACTGCACGCGCTTTGGGCATGCACGCGCATCCCGGGTTTGAGAAAACCTGGTACCGTGGCGTGACGTTTTAAAAGAAATTTGTACCGACTTGGTACCGAAGTGCCGGGTCCTTGACAACACTCATAAACGTTGGCTGCGCTGTTTCTTACCTTGCTCTACGTTGACTTTACTAACGTTAGTTCCAGCTTCACCGTCACCACCTTTTAAAAAATATTTGTTTAGGGCATCTCGAAGGCCTCTATTTTCTTCTTCTCTTTTCTTTTCTGAGCACCGGACTTGTGTTGACCGGACATTTTGAGCGTAACGTTAGCCTACTGAACTTCAAATCAAATGACAACATCATATTTCGATCAGTGGCCAAACCATTTTTGTTTGGGGGGGGGGGGTTCTTGACCACTATTTCAAGGACAATTAGGAAGAAAACGAATAAAAAGCTTTTATGTAAGTCAAATATTAGATATTTTTTCAACAAATATGCCTATTTTTTTATTTTTTTATTTTTTACAATTATTCCATAATTTAATGAGGGCCCAGTTCTGGGCCCCCCTCCCTACCCTGGGCCCGGGACAACAGACCCGTTTGTCCCCCCCTTTCGGCGGGCCTGCGCTTAACTTTCAGCTATAGATGTTTTATGTAAATGCTTGAGAGAGAAACGTTTGTGTTAAAAACGTGAAATGATGAAAAGTTTAAATGAGACGATGAAATGACTAAAATTGTCCTCTCCTTTTCTATCTCTCTTAAGGCTACTTGATGGTGTAAAGGTCCTTTTTAAAGAAAAAGCTAATGATCTAAAACTCTTGAAAATTCTAAATCACCAGTTCTTGGCTAGATTAATGTGTCATCGAAATAGTTACATCCCTAGTTAAAAATCTGCTTGCCAGAGTCCATACTGTCCATATTTCTAAGGGCAGCTCTTTATTGTAGGCTACCGGTGACCATTGTTGCGTAAAGGACATCAGTTAACATAACTCACCTCTGGAAACATTTGTCAAGTCACCTTTATTTATATAGCACTTTATACAATACAGATTTATTCAATGCAGCTTTACAGTGATAACAGGAAAATTATTTAATGATGGGATCATATGAACAGCTGTAAAGCAGCTCAAAAAAAAAAAACTTGTGTCATTGTTCTGCTGAAGTCAGTTCAGTGTTGATTCAGTTCTGTTGTAAAGATAATCAATTATTAAAGCTGCAGTCCGCAGTTTTTCCTCTTTGTCGCCATCTCTGTTCGAAATCTGCAATTGCAGTCATTCGCGGAATTATCAACTTTACGTGAGTTGTAGGCCCTGTCCACACGGACACGGGTATTTTTATAACCGTGACTTTTTTTACGCGGTTCGGCCGTTCGTCCACACGAAAACGCACTGAAACCGAACATTTTTGAAAACCCCTGCCAGGGTGAGGATTTTCAGAAACGCCGGTTACAGTGTTGTCGTGTAGACAGTGAAACCGGGGGTTTTTCCTTGCGACGTCAGAGTGTGCGCCGTTATCAGCTGTGTTTGACATCAGATTTGCTGTGTTTGACATCAGATTTGCGCTTCTGATTGGCCAACGTGGCTTTAGGGTTAAGGTTTATATCGCCGCCTGCTGGCATGGCATGCTCTTGACCGCGCTTGATTGCGTGTTTTTACGTTTTCATGTAGACGGAGACCGAGCATGTGTGGACGGGATTTTTTTTTTAAAACGCTGTAGGAAAAACTCCGGTTATAAAAATACCTGTGTCCGTGTGGACATGGCCGTAGTTTGACACCGCACACCGCGGATGAACACAATGTTTGAGAAGAGTGTGCAGCTGTCAGTCACCGCGCTGGTGTGGATACTGGCATTCACAATCACGGATTATTCTTTTTGGAAGTATGACCAACATAATAATTTTCACCGGAAAATGTCATCTGAACAAGTAACATCCACTTTTGTTCTGTTTCTGACATTGCAGTAAATCGAGCTGATTAAATCTAAAAATCGCTTATCATATCACGCAAAACCGTGCAAATTATACTTTGTTCTCAAATTGTTAATGTTAACAACGTCAGCATTGCGTGATTATTGTCCTTCTGATATTTATCCTTGTTTTCGCATGGGTCCGGTTGCAGTCTCTTTTTTTCTGTAAGTTAGCCACTCCGAAGTCCAAACGAAGTCTTTTGCATTTTACAGCGGGTGAATCTGTTGTCACTGGTGATTGTCGTTTGAACCTTTCTGGATCCGCCATCAAATTGATAAGTTTAAGGCGAGACACGGCAGGCAAAAACATATATATTTTTTTCACTGGTCAATTTTGAGATTCAATAACATGTCTTCTTTCAGACTTGTGGTGAAAAAAAGTCCGAAATACACATTTACGTCTTTATTTTACGACACTTTGTCTGTTTGCGTCTGTAGATTTCTCATAAATTCATCAAAAGTTGGCGATCTAAATCATCCCGCTGCTCCGCGATCGCTGTCTGCTGCACCCTGTCATCACACACACCGTTAGAAAGCTCTCTCTCTCTCCTGTACAATGCTGTCGGATCCAAATATGGTCATTTCCTTTTTATCAGCAACCAATTGTGCAAGTAAAAGGGCACAAATGCGCAATCTCATTGGCTGATGTTAAATCTTTAAAGCCCGTTTTCTCAAAATGACCTTTCTCTCATACTCCATGTCCGAAATCTCCACTTCAGTAGCAGCTATATACATCAAACTTTCCAGTCTTGTACCTAGTTATATTATGAAGACATTTACAGAGGGATTTGTAAATATATTATTCCTAGCCTGATTTATATAACATTTTATTCCAAAAAACATGGCAAAGGCTATTGACAGTAACGTTATATTCTGATTTACAGGATAACAAAAGTAGATATCCATAAATCCCTCTGTAATTTTTTTCCCATCTAATATGTGAACAAAAAAAAAAAAAAAAATTTTGAACCTGGCTTTATCCAATACTCAGATTTCATTTTTTTTATATATATGCAAATGAGTGCATATTTAATTAGAAAATGCTTAATTTGCATATTTAAACATTAAATTACAGAAAACTTGTAATACATTTTTTGTACACTCATCTTAATGTAGGTAATCAACTGGGAAAGCTTCAGGGTGATATCTGCTAGTTAAAAAAATTACCCTATTCACCTGTAGTGTCTCGCCTTAATTATATCAAGTGCTGTGAGAAAAGGCTATAAATCTCCACCTCCAGCATCCTCACACGCGATATAGCCTACTAGCCGAGACTCCTTCTTTATGTGTACAGATGTGACGTAATGACGCAAAGACATGCTCGAATCTCCCGCTGAAATCCACCAGTACCACTGGAATTAAAAACATTATTACAAGCTTTTTGAATCGAGCTACGGCAAGCAGATAGTTTTGAACACTGGCTGGTTATGTATTTTTTCAAATATGTATTTTGGATAATTTTTAACCCCAAAAAAGCTACGGACTGCAGCTTTAAATTAGTTAATTTCAGGTATAAAGCAGTTCTGCATAAAACAGTGATGTCATCGTCCAGCTCAGTTCAATTCTCATCCTATTGTTTGTTATTAAGCGTTACCATGAATGAAAGTGAAAGCTTTTGGGGGCCTGATTTATCCTTAATCTGACTTTTAGATTCATTGAAGGTGACTTGAAAGACAAGTTTGACAATGTCATCTGTGGATGATACCCCAATGGCCTTAAAACTGCCTGAGAGGTAGGAGAAAAACCCTCCAGTCATTTCAAAAGTTCATAGCCAAGGTTTATGGAACAATTTTGTCATCATGATCGAATCAGTCATGTGCTGGGAGACTTCGGACCATATGGAGACACTGTGTTCCATAATGAGGGCAGAAATGACTCCAGGGCCCACAACATTTTATGCAATCTGGAACAAGCGTACAGCTTAGGCC